TGCTTGTTTAGCTGCCTGTCTGTTGTAAGAGCTGATCCCTGTTTTTAATCCAAAACCGAAACTGGGAGAAGAAAATACGTTTACACTATGAGGAAACTGTACAACCACGTTGTAAAATACAGTGATAGAGTTGAAAAAAATACCCTAAATGCAGAGGCAAATGTTATGCATCAGTGTTGCAAGAGGGGAGGGGAAGAGAGGAGGCTGCCAAAGCACTTCCCCTAGTCGGAATGCTGTTTCAGCCTCACCACGTGCACAGGAGGGGGTGAAGTCTTGGCTCTGGCACTTGTGGAACTTTGCCAGTGACTGAAGAGGAGCCAGGACTGTACCTTGCTTGGGGTGATGGGCTCAGAACTTGTCTGTCAAACTCAAGCTCGTTTAGACAACAGTTCACTTAATTTCCTCACTTCTGTACGTAGTTACAGAAGTAGGTCATATAAATGTAGCTTCACATGAAAGTTTTTTTCCACTGAGCTTGCTGAAATACGTACCCTTTCTTAAACTAAGATTTTTAAATAATTGAAGTTGGGTCTGTGGTAACAATCCCTGGTATCCCATGTTGCTCTAAGACACTTCTAGTTTCTTGCCTACTCCAGTTTCATTTGTACGCTTTGAGGTTTTGGTCAAAAACCAGCTAACTTGTAGCGGAACATACTTCCTGGTAACAGCTGTTCTTAAGGGCTCTGTCTTCATAAACAGAAATCGGGGACAAAACTGTATCTGCTGTTTTTTGATCCTTCCTCTTCTCCAGTATTAATGTTCCTGTAAAGTACTGGGCTCAAAATGCTTGAACTTGTAAGACCTTTTACAAGACAGCTGCTGCTGCTTAATGAATATTTGATTGATATCACTTTTATGTAAGGCCTTGAAATCTGGTTTGGGTTGGAAGACTTTCCTATGAATGTTCTCAACAGGTAAAACCTACAAATTTCCTTTTTGGAAAGAATCTAGCAACTTAATTGCATCTGTGGGGTCTAGATAAAGCTAGATGTGATTAGATAAGATCCATATAGTCTTTGCTCACAAGTGTGTTGCACAGCCTGCAGTCGGTGAAATTCCCTCTGGTTCCTGGCATGTTAAATCAAGATGTAGTGACCTTTTGTCATTTGCATGGGAAGATTTTAGTGCTGTAAGTAGTAGTCTGAGCTTTCTTTTCTGTTTTAAGTTGACCACTGGAATCTAGGACTTAAAGAATTTTCTACCTACTCTTTCACAAAAGGTGTGTGGTGATACTTCTGAGCTAACTTAACAGCCAGCAGCTTCCAGAAGGAACCGTCCTGCTCCTCAAGTGTGCACTCCTGCATCTGACCTTTGGACACATGTGTAGCATGGATTTTATAAGTTGTCTTGAAAGGTGTTTGAAAATCAGTGTCCTTCCATATCTGAGAGTACTACTTCCTTTTAAGATTCAGGGAAATAATGGTTGTGTTTGGTCAGCTGTTAGATTGCTGAAGTTTTCAACAGAATGTAATTAAAGCAGGCAGTTTCTGTATGGTCATGTCTACTTCTTTCTTTTACAAGAGATTCAGTTCTGACTACTGCTGTGGAATGTATGTTTTCTTTTGGTGCTAATGTGAGTGAGCAGAAATGTGCAGTAAAATGGGCTGTTCTCTGAAATGCTGTTGCAGCTACAGACATGTGTCTAGCTAGTGTCTGCTACCAGGCTCTAACCTGAGGTTTTTAGTCTGCTGTGCCCACTGAAAATGCTCTAGTTAGTACTTGTGAAAAGGACTGAAATGAGATCTAGCTGCAAGTTTGTAGGACTTTGATTTGTGTTCCAGTCTTGAAGATGGTATCACATAGGATCATGGTAAGAGACCTGTCTCTCCTCAAATGTAGTAAAATGCTAAGCATAGTTTAAAATACTAATCTTACTTTAACTTGTCTTGGCTTGTGGAGAAAAGACCCCAAATGAAGTTGAATACTTTCAAGCTGGGCAAAGAAGAATAAAGGCCCCAGTGGTTTAGGTTAGGTTCCAGTAACTCTTTCTTTTGAGGCCGAACTGCAGACAAATTGCTGGTACCATGGGTAGCATTGCTCTACCACAGTGTGAGATTTAATATGGAGCGTAAGCTACACATGCTAAATTTTCTTTTTTTTCCCAGAGTATGTGCTCTATCCAGAGACGAGTAACTACTAATGAATATGAAGAATGATAAGTAGTGAGTTAGCTTACCTTATTTTTAGCTTTCTGCAATCCTGTGGAGACAGGATGTGAGGAAAAAACACCCTTCAGTTCTTTTGTGGAGTTGCGGCACATTACATGAGATGTTTGCCTTTTTTCCTCACTTGTCCTTAAAGCTTTCCTTTTCAGAACAGGATGTGTAGATTTTGCATTCTACAAGATAAACTGGATACACTGTGTGGCCTCACTGTGACAGTGGTGAGGAGAAATTGAAGAGCCCTCTAGACAGAAAAGTATAGGCATGTCTTTTATAGACTAACTAGCTTTTGTCATCTGGTGTTAGACCGACTCTTCTGACAATGGCTTCTGGACACCAGGTGAATGCTTGTTAAGGAGAGGATAGTTGGGTTGTGTGTGGTTGGGTAGCAGACTGCAGAGCAGGTACAGGAAGCTCATGTGTTTTGCCAGAGTTAACGGGCTTGCCCTTGGCTGCAGGGACCTAACTGATGTTTTTGGAAGCAGAAGCACCACATTTCTTGAGGAAGCCCTTGTAGCATTGCTTCAGGTCACGTATGGATGCCGTAAGCGTAGTGGCTCCTGCTTACTGATGCTGTTTTTAAATAGCTTTGTTTCCTCTTTATCCTCCTGAGGTGGTGCTTGGTAAATGAATTTCCCTATCCGTTACGATTTTGTCCAGCTCAGCATGCAAAATCTTAACATACCTCAGCTTAGTTTACCTGGCCACTTCAAGTGTTATATTAGGTGTTGACTTAACTTGTTTTGAAGGAAAAGATAGGTTAAACTTGATCTCTTTAACAAAAGAATCCTAATAAATAACCTGCCTCCTGATTGATTCCAGATTCAATTATTTATATTTGTTTGTCTTTAGGAATGTTAATAATATTGATTATTTGGTTTTGCTTACTGCCAGAAAGTGAGAGCAGCCAGATTAAGAACTGGTTTTGTTTTGAAGTCATCAGTCAGTACAATATTTAGAAATGTTTGTTCTTTTAGCTCCTTCATTTTGTGTATTTGGAGTTCTCTTTAAGCAGTGTTTCTGCTGAACTCATGGCTTAAATTGTGTGGCAAGCACTGCCAGTTCTAGGTCTAACAAACTCTCAGATATGTAGGAATATTAATGTTGTAATCAGATCTGTTTTGAATGACTAAAACTAGTTTTATGCGCAGAAAAGAGAGGGCTCTCTGGTTTATTCTTTAGTCCTGTTCCCTTTCTGATTCTGCAAGATGTGCATGGGACTTTGATCACTATAAAGACTTTTCTCTTGTAACGGTCTGTATAGGGAGGGAGACAAGGTGTACAAAATGAGCTGGAATTTTCCTTAGGCTAGAAGGTTAAAAAAGTCAGTTAATTGATTCTACTCATCTATTAAATTATCATTCATCCTGGATATCAAGTGTTGTTTTTTTCTGATTGTCATATGTCTGTCTGTCTAGTTTGAATTTGTCTCAAACTACATCATAAGTGGAGTAAAGGGTAGTGGTCATAGAATCATAGAATTTTAAGGGTTGGAAGGGACCTTACAGATCATCTAGTCCCAACCCTCCCTGCCATGGGCAGGGACACCTCCTCACTAGATCAGGTTGCTCAAGGCTCGTCCATCCTGGCCTTGAACACTGCCAGGGCTGGAGCAGCCACCACGTCCCTGGGCAACCTGTGCCAGTGTCTCACTACCCTCACAGTAAAAAACCATTTTTCTAATATCTATATGCAGTGAAATGCCTGAGAACACAGACTTTTGTTGATTTTGTAAGCGAAGTGGTCTATCTGTGAATGAATACTAAGAGTTAATATCTCGTTTAGTGACTGCCTAGGGAAATGGCAAAATTATAAATATGAATAAAAGGTGAATTAGAAGCATGAAAGCCTTGAAGTAAAATCTTGTTTTTAACTAGTACTCTGAACACTTCTTTTAAATAGATGTTAGGCTGTACTTAATCAATACCTGTTGCTGAAGTGATTGATCTGTAAAAGCCTTACATACTGCTGCAGAAGTTGCATAAGAAATTTTTAGCTCTGAGTAGAAATTCAAGCATTGCTTTTAGGCCTGAGGTTTTTTATGTGGCTTCTGGTCACCTTTGACACTGCTGAAAAATTCTCTTTGGAAAAATCTGCATGGACTACCTTTCCATGGGCCTGTAATGATCTGGCACAAATAATCTTTGCAACCCATGGTCTTGCAGGTTATTGTGGACTACTGTTCAAATGTGTGAGCCATAAATGGAAACAGCCTTTTTTTTTGTATGGAGGTAGGAAAAAGTTTGGCTTTTGTGACTGATCAGTATCTTGTCATGCAGGAGTAGCTCTTGGAAACTGACAAGTGAAGTCAAAACATATGTGTTGAGTATCTGAGAGGGTTTTCTCCGGTCCAGCTGCACTGTCAAACTTGCATTGGTTTTTCAAAAATTGACTTGGTGCTGTGTGCTAGCCCTGAAATAAGATAACGTCCTGTGCTTGCCTTAGTTTTTGAGATGCTTAAAATCTTCACATCTTTTTTTTATTCATAACAGCTAATCAAAAATACTGGTGTCACACAAAAAAAGTCATGCTAGCTCTCAGTTTCCTAGTCTAGGTCTTGTATTCCAATAGCCCAGAAAAAGAGAATGAGGTTCTCAGGCTCCAGTGACAGGTCTACTTAGCTTGCTGTGGTGCTTTGGTATATTGTAGTACAACCGTTCCTTCTTTTACTGTGTTGTGTGAACATTCTTCACACAATCTGACTGTAAACAGTGTGGTTTTCAATATAATCAATATTTTCTCCATGAAAGAAACTGTTAAGCTGTAGATAGCTTTATGTATCATTATGGATATTTGACCTTGAGTTCATTAACGCCTTCTTACTCTTTTTTTTGAAAGGCTCTTCCTTCTTCCATGATGATAGTCGCTGTCTACTGCCCAGTGATAGCAACTCTCTTTATCGTTTTGAAGATGGTGAATTACCGTTTGCACAGGGCACTGGATGAGGGAGAAATTGTGGAGAGGAATGCCAGTGAGCATATGGACAGAGGTGCAAAAACAGAACAAAGCAATGTTTCAGCCAAGAGGAAAGACAGCAATGGGCCCAGGTAAGGTGTCTGCTGATGTTTTTATACTGCTTCAAATGATAAACAGTCCTGTCTTCATCAGGTGTGTAACTGGAATGGTGACTGAAATAAACACTGAGCAATATAGTTGCAGACATCAGTAGTTCTGACGGACTGTTTTTAAGTCTGGTCTTTAAAAGCAGACTTATTTATGTATTAGGTTTGAAATGATGAATTCATGTTAATTTCCTGGTTCCTTCCCCAAAGGAGTTCCAGAACAATATTGAACATGCTGGAAGCACTGAAACAATAGCATGGAAAATGTGTGCCGATGAGATCACTACATGCTTAACGAGCACAACCAGTACAAGTAATCTTATTTCAACAGTTGACTTAGTTTAGTCAAAGACCACATACTCCAAGCTAATTCTTTGTTACTAAGAGATGTGCCTGGTTGGGTTTCAGTTTAGTTTTGCAAAAGCAGGAGTCAGATACAATACTTGGCTCCAGTCATAGTCTTTCTCCAGGAGAATTTGTGAATTTGGAAACTCTGGAATCGCTCAGCGCAGTAATGAAGATAATGATTCTGAAGTACTGTCAATAGGATGTGATTCCTTTCTATGGTTCTCTGCTGTTGCCAGCATAAAAAACCCCAGAGGTTTTCCTCCTCTGACCAGACTGTTTTGGAGAAAGCAAAAGTTGACTCATCAACAAGGCCAGCCTAACCAGTCTGATCAGACTGTGGATGTGTTACAAGCGCTATTATCAAAGCCTCTGCCTCCAGATCGTTGAGGCTATCCTAAAATTTAAACTGTATGAATTAAATCAACCTGGAATTGTTAGCTTTTAAAGAAGACTTTTCTCTTGTCTAAGTTTCTGGTACTAGTAGCCATGAAGAGTTTGCAAAGTGAGGCAATTAGTATGCTGCCCTGACTCTTAAAGGGTATTGTGTCTTACTAATGAAAAACAAAACTGTTAAGTTTTACACTGAGACACTGCTATAAGGAAATGTAGTTGAAAGAAGCCACTTGAGTTTGTTTATCCAGGATGCTTAAAGAAAGGAAGTGTTAAACTGCAGCTCTTTAAAATGCTCAGCCTAGAAGTAAAAGGACTTCTGTGTGTACACATGGGATAGCTTCTTATGAGATGGGTCCTAGCTTCTGTGTCTGCTCTCAGCTCAGGTATTGTTAGCAAAAACAGTGTCTTAGTTGCCTCTAAAATTGATATACGTTAACTTGTATCAGTTTTATAACCTCACCCTTTTTCCATGTTGGGTTTGGTAACTGAACCTGCTGATTTTAATTATGACTCTGTTTAGATCACCGTATACCTCACTAAAACTGTATTGAGCTATTTTGGCAGCCTGTTTCCTTAATTGTATGTTGATGCTTACTCTGCGTAATAAAATTCATGGAAGTAAACTAGTGTTCTGTTCTGTTTCAATGCAACCTTGCTAATGCATGTTTTAGGTGTGATCTTTAGGTGTTCTGTCTGAGTGGTTTTTGGTGGGGTTTTTTTGTTTGGTTTTTGCCGTGTAGTTTTTGCTTCCAAAACAGTAGCCCAGACTTGGCAAGGGAATTTCTACTAGTGTTGTGAATTACTTCTGGATGTTACAGAAGTTCTGTTTTGTCTAAGGAGCAGTTGACATGGGACAAGATACTACATTATAAGCATTGTGAGCTCAGAAGTAGAGGTTAGTTTGATGCTGTCTGTCCTGCTTGCCAGCTAAAGTTTCATTAACTTTTATATGATCCTTGTTCCCACTTTCAGGTCTCTTAACTAGAACTGGGAACAAGGTCAATGCAGAAATTACGGAGTTACTTTTTGGTAAGTGGGATGTACAGTATATACTAATCTTTGCCTGGAAGCTTACAAGAACTCTGGGGTAACACTCAAACCAGTAGATAGGATGTAGAGTGAGTGTTTAATATTGAGCTGTAAGCTTCTTAGTAAATTCAATTGGAACACTAATAAAAAAAGACCTGTCTGGGAAGAGTGTGTATGTAGGGTTTTGTTTTTAAACTCTGTGCCCCCCCGCCCCGGCATAAGGTGGAGATAGGGGAGATCTGAGCAGATGTACTACCTTAGATATTTGCATAATCAGAACATTAGGTTTGATGGCTTAGGCCACAGCATGTGATACCAAATGTGTGTATATAGTATAGTTTGCCAAGCCATCCTAGAGTTCTCCCCCTGCCACACACACCCTCCCTGAGACTTTAGATACAAATATTAGTATTTTTGGAGGATGAAGCAATAGTCTGGTTTCTGTTCAAAAGTTATGTTTGGGATTCTGTTTAGCTTCCAAAAACTGCTGTTCTTCTTTTCTGAATGTTTATCTGCAAAGTGGTGCTTTCAGGTGTATGACAAATTGAACTGCTCATTTATCTTCAGAGCACATGGCTTTGTGAAATGGATCAAACTGAGAGTTTTTAATCTGTTCATAAAACTTTGGTGTGTTTAGGGGAAGAACAACTTGCTGTTCCTTTAGAAATGCCTTGTTTATTTTTCTTGCTGTTGTCTTCGTAAAGCTGAAATTCTCTGGTTAATCTTTCCAAAAGAAGCTAATCTTAATTTACAGGTAGGAATGTGAGATCCCTTTTGTAGCTTCTAGTGCAGTTGCTGTTTTCATACTTAAGGTATTGGTAATGCTTCTATGAGGCTTCATGAAAGCAAGTACTAGGCTCCTGGTCTCATAGAAAAGGTAGAGGAAACAGTGCAACCATGAGCTTTGTTGGGTATCAGTGAACACACATAGATCCTGGCAAACGCTTAAGTCAGTTTTGCTTTTGGGTGTATGAATAGGGCTTCTTTCTTGTGACAGTGCCTACTATGGTTCAGAGTATCCTAAAGCATTAGTCTGATGACGCTGGTGTCCCTGATCCCCATCAGTATGGGGAAGCTGTGATCATGATGCTACATGAACTTCACATGTAATTCTACCAAACTGACAGCTGGAGAATGTTGCATCTTTGAGATATGTACAGTCTACTTAATTTTATTTCTCTTGCTCATACTTGTTTAAAACAAGGTGATCTCTAAAACTCTTGCCTTACGTTGCTGTTTCTTCTTCTTGCAGTTGTCTGTGACTGGCAGACCTGTTCTAGAGCCTGGAGTTGGTTTGCACTTTTTACTATAATTAGTGATTCAAGCTTGAAGGAAAACTTAATACTTGAAGCTGTTGTGATCTAGGATTTGCAGTACATGCTGTGGTCCTTCTGTACTTTGAGAGCAGCCTCCTGACTAGTTATGCTCTATTTAGTTGGAAATTGAGGACAGAAGAAGGTGCTCTTTGACAGCAATCTCCATTGCAGGTAGCCGAACGTAATGTTTTCAGTATTCTCAATTTGTGGGGTAGCTTCACTGCACTTTTTTTGCTTGCGAACTGTGAAGTGTAGCACTTGCTCTAAGGTATGAGATCAGCAAACTGTAAGAAACTGATTGTAGAACTTCACATCTGAAAGGAATGATCATGGCACTAGCAGTAAATAGCTCCTAAAGGACTGGGTGATATGCCTTAATGGTTTAGGGGTCGCAGTGGTAGTGCTAGGTGGACGGTTAGACATGGTGATCTTAACGGTCTCTTCCAACCTTGATGATTCTGTGACTGTGTGCTGTTGTAGTCCAGATCCTTAGGCATACAATGAGTAATCCTAAAAATCTGTATTTCTTTCTTGTTCCTGCAGACTTTATTTGTTGTTGCTAGCTTTTGGTAATCCATTGGTTTGTGTGTACTGTCACAGAATATAGAAGCTGTGAGTAGAGGGGCAGTGATGGGTTGTGTTGTTGCTTATGCTGCTGTCTCTTGGTTCAGTTTTAGACAATATTGCCTGCTTCTTCCACCCTGGCTAACTCACCCAGTTCTGTGCATGAGAGCTTGTTCGCAATGACTTATTTTTCTAGTTCATAGGATATACTTTAATCACGTGCAGTGTTTCTCCATGAATTATTCAAACAGGAAAGGAATGTCATCTTTTTATGAAGGGCATTCTTATATCTTCAGTTGTCATTGTAATGTATGCTGACTTGAAACATTAAGTGAGAATTTTTCAGCTTAGACTTTAATTTCATGTTAGTCCTAATGTATTCTTAAAATGGTTACATCTGGAATACTTTGGCTAAAGCTGTTGAAAATTATTGAAGCTGAATTCTGTATCTTTTTATATTAATTTTCCTTACCTGCCTTAGCATAATTGATAATATCAGGTCAGAGAGGGTTCTGTAAACCACCATCACTAAGAGCATGCTTATGTCTCACTGCTGAGCTGTACCAAAATGGTGACTTTTCCCTTCTTTAATTTGCTGGAGTCAGACCATAGTTCTGTTAACTAATGGCTGATTGCCTTTTAAGTTAACTTATTTTTACTGAAGTAATATATTCCTAACTTCAAACTGTCTTTTTTTTCTTTTGTCATCTCTTTGATGTAAGAAGATTCATGGGCCTCTTATATGATCTAGAATGATTCCCAAGGTTGTGCCTTTATGCCTGCCTGAGATGACAACAGCTTGAAATGTCATGCTGCAGAATGAGTCACATCAGGTCCTTTAGTCTACAGACAGTTTGTTTATAATAGCCTAGATTGATGTCCATATATTACAGAAATTATTTGGTGTCAGTCTTAATGAGACTTTCCTGTAAGACTAGGTGTCTGTTAAATAAGCCCTGTAGTGCTTCTGTCCATTTCCTTTCCCCATTGGGCCTTCGTCTTTAGTTTCTTTAGTCCAGCTGGACAACTGTTGTGCATGTGTTCCTTTTTCCAGCAAAACGTTGTAGTGGGCTTACCATGGCTCTGAATTGTTGATTGTTGGGAGGCAATTCTTTATCTTTGGGCAGGAGCAGTAAAGGTCAGTGTGAAATTACTTTGCAGTTGCTTCTGTTCAGAGGTATCCTAGATCAAGATGGTTGAAGAGAATTGTAATGGGAGAGGAAAAATGATGCTGCAGTTTCTCCCTCTTTGCAATTAACAAGCAGTGCTAGGTTGAATCCCTGTCTTCTAGCTGTCAACTTACTTCACAACTCATTGTCCTAATGGACAGAACCAACTTGCTTTTGTTTAGTAAAATATCTGCCTTTGACAAGCTGAATGATGTTGATCTAGAAAATACTTTCAAACCAGTAGTTATTAATCGAGAAAAGGTGAAATCGCTAGGATGTAATGATACATAAGTTGTGCCTCAAAATATTTCTTGGTAGGGCCTGTGAAGTATCTGAAGGGAAGTCATTATTGGGTAGAAAGAAATTATTTGCATCCTTGGGAGAGATACCATGTCCCCGTATGTCTTTGCCTGTCCAATAACTTTTCCTGACAGTGTGGCTTTCTTCATTAACCATCCTTGCTTATGCTCCTAGATCCAGTCTAAGGAAAAGATCAGGAGGCCTTTCTCTGCTCTTGGAAAGAGTCAGTACTTCTTCCAAAAGTTGTGTGTGTGTACATATAGACAGGGAGAATTTAATGTGTCATCATATCAGAATGCCTTGTAGCTCATAAGTCTTCACAGTTTGTGTTAGCTGGTGGCAGCAGCTTCTGTGGCAGTGTATAGGGTGTTCCAGCTCCGACTGAGTTTCCTGTGTCAAACAGGCAGTATTCATCCGTGATACTGGGATATATTTGAGCCCATGGTATTTGAAAAGGGAAAGATTGTTTTGAATCTGCACTCAGCATATACAAACTTCTGTCTAACTGGTAGGCTAATGTTGTGTTGTTTTTTGAATTTGTTTCTTTCAGTGACCCTGGTGGAGGGATAGAGATGTCAGAGTTCATACGAGAAGCAACTCCCCCCGTTGGCTGTAGTTCACGCAATTCTTATGCTGGGATAGATCCAAACAACCAGGTAAGAATTAGAGCTACTGCAGTTGTCGATTTAGTACTGCTGCCTTTGCAATCTGTAGAGTAACCTTTTCTTTTTATGTGACATTTTTCTGAATTGTATTAGATGAAACAATTTACCATTTTGTATTTAACTGCTTTGTTAGGGAGGCATTGAACTCTCCCAGTAGCATAGCTCTTTCTTAAACTGTAATTATTTTAATAATGACTGGATTTTGTAAGAGAACCTACTGTTCTATCAGAAGGTATTTCCTTTAGCTCAGTTAGCTTTCTTCTGATGTAATAAATCAAAATGGCTCAGAGCCTGGTCAGATAAGTATGAAGGACCCACTCTGGTGGGATTCCCTCTTCCTTTTGGCATCAGTGAGCTGTTAGATGGTTTAACCTGTATCTTCATGCCTATGTTCTAACTTTGTGTTCCTCCCTTACATTGTTTGATCTGTCATTTAGAAGCTTAATTGTTAAATTTCAGTGCTGTATTTGGGGAGGCTTCTGTTAAGTCATCTTAGAATGTATACACTGCTGATGATAGCTTGCAATTGTAAATGGCTTTCTGAAAGTTACTTCTGACACTTTAGACTCTGTGGTTACAAATGTTAGTTTGCTAAACTATAAAGCAACATAAACTACTAGAAATGGAAAGACTAAAGCTGTTTATTTTTGGATGACCTCTGCGAAATCTTCACTGTTGTGACACTTCAACAGGGGTGGGAAGAAAGCAATAAATAGGGGCTGCTGCCAGATGGAAGTGCTGAAGAACTTGGCTTTATTATATATTAATGCAACTTCATTATGCTCTAGTTGCCTTGTAATTTCACTGGGGAAGTTCTTCTGTTTCCTTATTCTGTCTGCTAGGTTTGTGCATTCAGCTTCCATAGTGCTGCATGTGCTGTTCCTTCTATTTGACTTGTGACGTTTAGCTTTTGTGTTATCTATTGCCAACTCTTCCTGAAGATGAGTAGATTGACTGGCCAGACTGTACAGTTATGTTGGCAATGAGCAATACAGCATCAAAATAAAGATATAGAAGCTCTTTTTGAATGGCATGGAAATCCTTGGTGTGGTATTACAATATCAAGTTCTTCTAATTAGCTCTCTGAGCAAGCGGTAGATAAGGAAGTGCAGTGATATGCTAATGCTGATGTTTTATCTGAATAATGCTCCATTAAGCAGCAGAGATACTCTAAGAGATTTTTCTCCTTTGAAGAGAGCAGACATTTGGTAGTGTTCAAGGAAGCAGTAGTCCATGTAGGAAGGTAGAAATGTGATCCCCAGACTAGTTCTTTGGCTGCTCTTTGGAAGAAGACTATTCCAAACACAACAGTTTTAATGTTAAAGCATGTGAAGAAGTTCAAGCTGCTGTGAAAGAAAGTATAGTGTTTAAAATATGTTTGGCCTATATGTTTAGCATTCGCTAGTCCCCTGTGATTGAATTTGTAGCATCAAAAGGGAGTGTGAGCAATAAGCATCTTGAGTTATGTTCGTTTTTTAATTTGAAATAGCTTTCCTGTACAAATGCATTTGCATTCAGCTACAGCATTCAGCAAGGCACATTACTGAAGGGAAAAAAACATTGAAGCATGGCAAAATGACTAACCCAAAGTGTGTGTGACAATGTAGTGAAGAAAATGTATTAAACAAGCTCTAGCTGCTTTTTTGCATTACACATAACAAAGGTATTGTTCTTCTGCAGTATGGCTGAATAAGATCTGTCAGCATCTTCAGATAACCTGAAATTGCTGTGCTTACAGAAAAGAATTAGTAGAATTGTGATCTTTCCCCCAGAGTCATTCGAGCTAGGGATTTTTGAAAAACAGCATCCCAGTAAGTATACAGTGAAGTCAAATGGCCATTTTTATGTAACTTGCGTTCAGATTTTGCCCTTGAGTGCTCTTCTATCTTATTTCTGAGTGATGTATTTGATACATGCGTTTTAGTGTGCTATTCGTAGTTCTTTGAGAGGAGGTATTGAAAATACTGTTGAAATAAAAACTAAATTCCCTTTAGCAGCACTGCAAAATAATGTGCTGTGAATTATAGGATATATGTAGAAAGGCACATTGCAAACCTAAGCAGTTAGCTAGTTTTTGTAGAAGGTACATACCTGCTGGTTGGCCACTGAGTGTGGCTGAAAAATTGATACTATGAATTTGAAATGTGATTGTAACTAGGATCCAGGAATAGACTGAGCAATACTACAGTTTTCCACTAACCAGTTTTGCTTGCTTAAGGTAACTGTAATCTGTGTATTTGGAATCTGTTTTCAAAAGAAAAATTGCTTTTGCTGGAATGAGAGGGAAGAGTAATATACCGTGAAATGATTAGGTTAAATCAATTGAAGTTTATTCAGCTGCCAACAGGGATCATCCTACCATGTTCCCTGTTCATGCTGATGTGACTTTCCATGTACCAGCTCTTAGGTTATTGTGGTTACCTAGTCATTGGATCAATTTTGGCACACCTGAAAACTAACTCTGGAAAAATGTGTGTTTTAACATGGGAGCAGTTTCTGGACTTAGCTTGGTCTTTAGTATGTTGAACAGATAAGCTTTCACCTAAGATGGTATTTTCTTTAAGAATTTTAGGCAACTATGATCACTGCATTAAACATTCAGCTTTACAAGAGCAGTTACTAGTGTAGCACTGCTCTAGTACTTTGTTGCCACATTAAGTATTTTTAAGGAAAATTCCTGGATTAAAAACTATTTTTAAAATCAGCATAGTAAAATCTCCAAGGACATTGGCCATGAAACAGAATAGTGCAGTGATGTAATTGGACACATAATTACATGTCTTGTCATCTCTTTGCAGTGGAAACATATAGAGTCAGAATTTCAGAGCACGGTGCCGTTGGATGCTTTTGTGCCTTAAAAAGTATCTCCTAGGTGGATAGGCAAATGCATGCATTTCAGTGATAGGAAACAACAGTGGGTTAGTTTCTGAAAGTTCACAGCTTTTTACATAATTACCTGTTTCTAGGTTGGATCTGGGTTATCTCGTCTGGGAACAGCAGCAACCATCAAAGGTGAGATTTTTAGCTACTTATTAAATTACCTTGCAGAAGCACTTCAAATCACTATTGTTTACCATGTTGTTTCTAAGTACTGTCTACCTTATTTGTCTTCAAAACTTACTAGGTTTTGTGTGCTGAGTACAGCATTTACTAATTGGGAGAAATCTTCTTTGGACTTGCAAATTATGTGACTAAAACACTAGTAGAGAATATTCTGGAGTCTGTGTTCCATTTCCCATGGAATGACAGATTTTTCCTTTGCTTATAAATGCAGGGCCAAGGGGTTGGTTTGGGTGGACATTTCCCTACTATTTTGAGTTCAGTGTAACCAATCACCCTTGTGGTATTGTATTTCAATGACTTGATTATTTCTAGATGCTTGGTATCTACCAAAAGTACTGTCCAGGACAGCCCTTGCAAACTCCTCTGAGATGAAAAGATAAATTATTTGTAATGTGCAAAATTGTTATCTTGTAAATTTATTCAGCCAACAATAAACCAAAATGAGATGTGAATTTTTCTCACCTTCCTAATTTTTCCTTACGGTTTTGATCTTTACAAGCATTTTCTTACAGTCTACTGCTCATTTTTATGGCCAATCGTGCAAAAATAAATATTCAAATAGTTAGATCTTTATGGAAAAAGATCTTTATTTCTATTGGGTTCTGTGGAAGATACTTTTCCAGTTCTTCATGGAATGTAAAAGAAATAGAGAAGACAATGCTTGTCTCTAAAAGATAAAGAGAAATCTTGTGTTACTTGTAATTATTATTTACCTTCAAACAAAGAAATTAAACCAGCAGTCTTTAATGACAGATGAGAAACCTGCGGCGTATGTAGATGTATTTATTAATACTTTGAGCACTAGTACTCTTATTTCTTGAAATTCACAGGTGATACTGACACTGCCAAGACCTCTGATGATATCAGTTTGAGTCTTGGCCAGAGTTCTAGCCTATGTAAAGAAGGGAGTGAAGAACAAGGTAAAATTTCTTCTTCTCCATATTAAACATGGTATTTTGTTACCCAAGACCCTTTGCTTAACATGCTAAATAAATTCATGCAGTTTGTTGATAGACTCTAAGAAAGGGTATCTGGAAGTTCTGTTTCTTTTCTTAATTAAGTTGCTGGGAAGGAAAGCTTCAATGCTTTTAACTTTATTCTTTGGCTGGGTGTTTCTTGTTCTTGCATCTTCCAGCAGGTAATAAATATTTACTGTCACCTTACTGCTGAAAGGTAGCTAGCTCACATGTCTGTAGGCAATGTCTCTTACACTACAAGTGGCCTGGGATTTGTGGACTTCATTGTAGACTAATTTGCTTTGCTTTCCAGTACTGAAAAATGTAATTTTTTTTTTTTTTTGAGTTGTGCAGGCTTTTCTATAAAGTAAATAATCCCACGTCAAATTCTATGTTACTGGAGCTATAGACTGCTTCTAAGGTGGAATTTATCAGTGCTTTCTGATTTTTTTTTTTTAAATTTGTGTCCTGTTACGTGAGGAAGCTGCTAGCTTGTGTTTTTCAGTTGTCCAGTTTTGTGTCAGATCTCATTTTTCATTTAGCTTCATTGCCCAGAACAATCTGCTCAGACTAAAACAGAGCATAAAACTGCAGGGAAATCCTTTGTTTGCTGATTTTAAAGTACCTGGTGATTAGCAGGAAGTTAACTCTGGGTAAACCACTGTTTGCCAGTCTAATCACTAATGGGTTATTAGATTGGCATGGATGATTCAGTCATTACTGTGCGATTCAGTGCAGAAAATAGGTTTGAAGTAGGGAATCAGAGGTGGCCATGCTGTTGTAATAGGCAGCAGGGTTCTGGTGCTTTCAGCTGAGTGATGTAACTGCTTGTGAAGTCTTGTAAGTTACACATGTTCAAATGCACTCTACAAATATTTAGCAATTGTAGAAACTTGTCCTCCAGATCTTCTGTTCTTAGAGACAGTACCAAAAAGGAAATTGGCCTGACCTGCATTACTGCCTGCAGGTGGACACTTTTCCAGGAGACTGTTCGTGATGGGTAATGAGAACAATCATTCTGACCAAGAGTGAACAGCAAATCCTCATGATTTGCTTTAACAGGACCAGCTTTAGAGGTAGTAAAACTCAGTAATTTCACAGGGAGTTTCATTATAGTACCAATAGACCTGTGCCAGTGCCTGCATCCTTGCAAAAACTGTGAGCTTACTTGGTATCTGGTTGGAAAGGTGATTTTTTGTTGGTTTTTTTTTTTGTTACTTTGAAGTTAATGGGGTTTATTTACTCTTTTTGTTAATAATTTTAAAGTTCATGTGAAGCAATTTACTGCATGTAGGAAATAGAACAAAAGGTAGGATACCCTTTTAAAACTGAAACTGGGATACATAAAAGCATCAAGTCTGAGACACGTAAGCAATAGAGGAGACTGGGAACTTGTCAAAATCCTGTTGTCTTTTATTAGCTGCTAAGGTTAAGATGGTATTGGTGGTTTCTGGGGTTTTTTTGTTAAAAAATCTGTTGGTTTGTCCAGATGTTAGGCAGTATTTGTAAATGGTAATGCGATGCATTCATAGTACCTGTAAAAGGATTTGTCAGTTCATTTACTTTGTCTGATATAAACAAGCAGTTTTAAAGCAGACTGTATAACTTACATGAACACTCTACATGAATATTTTTAAATATGTACTTAAAACAGATTTGGCAACCGATCGGAAGCTTTTTCGTCTGGTGTCGAACGACTCGTTTGTCTCCATCCAACCTTCATTGTCCTCTGGACAGGATTTGCCAAGGGACAACAGTGACAAAGTGTGCCTCTCGAACAACCAGCTTGTGGACCAGTCTAAAACCAGTGTGTGTGACCCAGAAGTAGCTTCGCTTGTAACTCTGCATTCTCACTCCTATAGAAAGGATCATAGACCACGAGGTGTACCAAGGACTTCAAGCTCTGCTGTCGCTTTTCCAGATGCTTCACTAAATGACTTCCCTCTCTATCAGCAAAAACGAGGACTAGATCCTGTCAGTGAGTTAGAAGCTTCCAAGCCCCCTTCGGGATCTAGAGAGTCTCTGGGTGAGAACTCTTGCATTTCAGGAGTTTTTCAATTAGATGACATTCTGAAAAGTAGCAGCCCTCAACCATTGACTAAGAGTGGGAAGAGCAAATCCTTGAAAGCAGACAAAAGTGTGGACAGTCTGAGAAGCCTGAGTACTAGAAGCAGTGGTTCAACAGAAAGCTACTGCAGTGGGACTGATCGTGACACTAACAGTACCATCAGTAGCTATAAAAGTGAACATACTAGCTCAACACATATAGAAAGTGTGTTGTCAGAGCACGAGGAGGAGTCTCCTAGAGAAGAGAAAATGGATGGTAAGAAAAAAGACTGTGGTGTTGACTCAGAGGATGACAGTAGTTCCACTACTGACAAAAGGACTAGTAGCGAAAGGACTGCTGTGGAAGTGAGCACTATCGGTGGTGTTCAAGAGCTAAAGGGTTCTAATGCATCCAGTGAGATGCACAGCCAGAAAGGTCTTGGTGCCTCTGCTTCAGAGGAGGCCAATAAGAACCCACATGCCAATGAACTGACTACGCAAGCTGACAGGCCACTTGGGAAGGCTGCTGAACAAAGGGATGAGCAGAGTGAGAAACTAGCTGTGTTAGTAGATTCCAGAGCCTCTAAAGAAACTAGTGGGAAACAAAAAGAAGGAGATGTTCGACCAAAGTCTTCTAGTTTAATACATCGAACAGCCTCTACCCACAAGTCCAGCCGGAGAAGGACAGGAAAAAAGCGGGCTAGTAGTTTTGATTCAAGTCGGCACAGGGAATATGTTTCCTTCCGAGGTGTATCTGGTACTAAACCTCACAGTGCTGTGTTTTGTCACGATGAGGACTCCAGTGATCAAAGTGACTTGAGCAGGACATCAAGTATGCAGTCAGCTCACCAGTTCAGCAGCGATAGCTCTTCCAGCACCACCTCCCATTCATGCCAGTCTCCTGAGGGAAAGTACAGTGCTCTAAAGACCAAATACGTTTCTAAAGAACGTGGGGGCACAGACCCTGAAAATGCTCACAAAACCCACGTAAGCTCTGAAGGAATTAGCAAAAAAAGATCTACACGTCGGACTTCTAGCACAAACAGTGCCAAGAATCGTGCCAGAGTATTAAGCCTGGACAGTGGTACTGTAGCTTGTTTAAATGACCCAAATAGTTTAATGGCACCAGGTAACATAAAACAGTTAACCACTTCAAAATCTGATTTGGAAGCCAAAGAAGGAGAGGTGCTAGATGAGCTATCTCTGTTGGGAAGGGCTTCACACTTAGAGTCAGTCACTCGTTCTAGGAATAGCTTACCAAGCCAGGCTACATTTCCTGAAGGGGAAGAGCAAGAATCAGCAAGTGGAGGTAAGTAAATGACCTACCAGAAGTACCTTGTCATATTTTGTTAATGAGTCTGGTATAGACTTAAGTAAAAACTGTACTTAAGCGTCCTCCTGTTTCTTGGTTCTTGCTGATTAGAACAGAAAAAGCATTTCCTTCATCATCTCTTGGAAAATCTACAGAAATGGGAGTTGAATCCAAACAACTGCTATGAAATCTATAGGTAGAGATGTTAATGGGTTTGTTACCAGCAGTCTTTGTTAACTAGAGCTGTATCTTAAAATTATTATTTGTGATCAAATCAAACCTGTTCCATTGTATTACACATGATTTCAAGTTTGAGCAGTACAAACTACTGCTGCCTCTCTGACATGGCTTGAGGTGGTATCAGAAAAAAATAAAACCAATCCCAAACCCTTACTGTGCTGCTTTGGATTGTGCATCCTTACAGTGGTGTAGTTGCTAAGCTGAATTCTCCTAGGGATTTGATTTTGCTTAGCCTTGCCATTGCTGGCTAGACAGTGTTGTTTACTTTGGGTATGTTTTCTTTGTCTTCATTATGTGAATACAATTCCAGTGTTGGAGAGGAATGTGGTTTCCTCTCACTTTCCCTAACTGTTGCTTTGCTTGGTGTAATGTGAATGCTAAGATTACCTGTAGTAGCTGGTATTGATATAGATTAATAGTGGTGTTTAAAAAAATTAAGCTCTTCATCTTTTTTTTTTGGTTATCATTATAAAGTTTGTTTCTTTCTTGGTTACCTGTACTTATGTCCTCAACTTGAAGATGTATTGTGTCATAGAAGATAAGAGGCTTTGAAATGCATTTTCAGAATAGTATGGAATTGCTTATTACCTCAGTCTGATTCTTGGGATTGTTGGAGGGCTAAACCTACCAAATAACCTGGATCTCTGTAGCTAAGTGCACAAATAATTCATAACACTGTTTTAGACCAAGACGTATTTTAAGAAATTGTCACAAGTTTACTGTCCTTGCTATACAGATTGCCTAAGCAAAGTATAGTGATTCTTTGATCTTAAAAGGAGAGACTTCCAGCTCACAGTGAGATAAGATGCGAGGTATAGTGGGGTTTTCTTTTGGGTTTTGTTTGGGGTTTTTGGGGGGGGAGGGGAGGGGTTGGTGTGTGTCCCCCAACATTGACACAAGAACTATAAATTATTACAAATAATTTCTGGGGAGGAAAAAGTGTGCTACACAGAAGTTGAGCTGTGTATTGATTACTGGTTAACTGGTTTACAATTCAGACCTATTTAGATGCCTTCACTTTAAAAGAAAAAAAAAAAAGAGGTCTGCATATTTAGTACTTTCTTTTTGCTATTTGTAATAACAGGGTTCTGCAGTAGCTTTAATGAAAGAGTCCAGGTTGCTCCTTTAGTGCTAACTCTGCAAGCTAAATACTTATGCACATTCTATGCCTTGTTAAAGTGACAGCTCTTCTTTATGTCTATGGAGAGTAATTTGACTAATAAAAGGTCTGCCTTTATGTATTTACCATTTTGATTCTATGCTTTCGTTAGCACAAGACTGAATTTCATTTTGTTTTATTACAGCTTAAAACTATTCAGATTCTCTCCCTATGTGCAAAGGAGGATTAATATACCTTACCTTGCAGAACATGTCAGACTGTGTGCTTACTACCTGTCAGTAGTCTGAAAGAATTAATGGGTGACTGATGCTGTACATTGTGAAATATTTTGAATGCTCTTCTAAAGAGTGAAATGGTGGGGAAGCCATTAACCTTAACATATTTAAAACCAATCTTATAGATACAAATCTGTAGCAGCTTAAGCTGGAAAGCAGTGCTGTCATTCTTGCTGGCTTATCAGTTTCCCCTTAAAAATTTTGCATGATGGTCAGTTTGATTTTGTTAGTATTTTTAATAAGCAGCAAGCACCCAAGTATTACTTGCCTGTAGGTTTCAGGCTGTCTTTAAGAAGCAGTCTGGAATTGGGTTCTCCAGATTTGGAGACATTATATGGTTAATAATAGTGTATATTATGTTTCTTATTACCAATAGAAGAGGAAAAATTTCCTTTTATTGTAAGAAATTAATGTCATTCTGATATTTTGAAAGCAGAACAAAATTGACTTCTTTTTTAGCATTACTTAAATATTTGTGCGATCTTGTCCAGCAGCAGGCCAGTAATTACCTTGAATTTATCTGTTCATGATCAATCTGAATAATTCCTTCATGTTATCCTTCTCTACTGGTTTTTGTTTGTGTTTTGTTGGGTTTTTTGCCTCCCAAATCGATAGCTTATATTACAAGTTTTGTAACACCTACATCTTTAATTGTGGCTTTCTTCCTTAGGCTTACCTGTGACTAAGAGTAACGAGAGAAAATACTCTTTAGAATCTTAAGTTGCTTTATAGCCAGTTGTCTAAATCTCTTGGGAGGGTTTTTAAAGAGATATATGTATAATATCAATACATATCATATGTATATATATAGTAATTATTTGAGAAAGCTAAGAAGTTATTTACTTATAGCAGATGAATTACAGGATTAACTTGGTTCAGATTTTCATAAAGTCAGAGGGTATTGACTGGATGTGACTTTTACAAGTTGTCTGGGCCAAGCTCCTGCCAAGAGGATTATTTTGTGATTTTATACGCTTGTGATAACTGTCCGAAATAAAAATTAACAGATGCACACTGGATAATAAAAAGACTAATATTAATACCTCCTCCTCTTTCAGGCAGCAGCTTTCAGTTCATGTTTTGCAAATATGACTTAAGTCAGTAATTTTAAGTTCATTTTATTTTTCAGTTGATTTAGGGAATAAACAGAAAAGCACATTCTTACTTGTTTGTGTAACTGCTCAAACCTGTTTTGTAATGGGTATGGCCTTTACTAATCTTCTAAGCAAGATGCTATAGAAACTTGTACACATTTCACTTCTGCAGATACAGCTTACTAGTTTCATTTCTATATTATTGTGCCAGGAAGTGGTAAATGACTCACTTGCTACAAGATAGCATGTGCATTTGAATAGAAATTGCAATTCATTCGGATGCAGAGAAACAGCATCTGAAAATTCTGGAATTAAATGTGTGGCGGATGTATAACAAAAAATGGAAGACGTTTCACAATAGTTGTTACCCTTGCTTAACTACTCAGACTCTCAAAGTAGCTAGTGAATTGATGAGTTATGGATTAGATTAAGTTGTTTAGATGTCTGAAAGTTTTCCTAGATCTCTAGTGATATTTTGGAAATGCCACCTTGATGCTGTCCTGTGCCTGGTTCCTGTCAGATGTGTGCTATTTCTGGATTGCTGTTTGTAAAGTTTTAAAGAACCAACATAATGTCGTATGACACAGTAATGTTTTGTAAAGCTTGAGCTGATCTGAAAAATCAAGTGTTCTCCTCAGTTCTATATTGTAAAAGATGTACCCTTTAAGTTGCTACTGTTTTACAGCTTGCTGTAATTTAAGGTTTATTTACTTTAAGCTCTTGAGATACATAAGCTTTTGTAAATAAAACTGCATGTGATGTAATGCATTTTTCCTTCTGTACATTGCATAGAATACTGAAGTAACAGCTCATACTGTTCTTCTGTGTTTTGTAGTCTGCAGTACATCTCTACAGGCAGGCAAAATACTGTGAGCTTGGATTAGTCTTGTGTTTCATATGGCATGTGGAAACCTCTTCATCTTTTCAGTGTGTGTGTATCTGTACATATATGCTCAGCATATCTGCCTGTAATCATTGCACAGTGTCCTCTCCAAAATTAAAATTACAGTTCAGTTCTCTGCTGTTCAGCCAATGGTCATGTCAGCTGTTACCAACATATTACTTTTCCTACTATGCTGATGTTGCACGTGTTCTACAGTAGTGACTTATTTTGCCGGTGTTGTAGAGCTGTTCCATGCTTCTGGTGGCTTTAGTTTGATACATTTTCTGCAGGTAGAATTAATACAGTTGCAGAAGATGTGACTTCTGATCTGTTTTCTTTGAGTCTGCCAGTTCACAGTCAAGCTACTAAGTAAATCAGTTTTGCATGAGAAATCAGAGTTCAGAAATGGTAGAAACTGAAAAACATGTGAAATGACTGTCATCTGATGTGTGTATCTTTTAGCTATCTGTTCATGTGTTCAGAAGGACCCCTCCTGTAACTGGATCCAATTAAGGGCTCTCTTCCATGTGAGGTTCTGTTCTGGAACCAAAAGATTGTATTTCATTATTTGATATTTTAGATATTAACTAGCAGTGTCATAATGTACGTGGCATTTGATTCAAGCATGGCACAGGAGTTCTAATGTTTGTCCTTTTTAGTTTCTGGCTTTGAAAGCATTATGTTGTACTGTCACAGCTTTTGTGTGCAAAGGTTGAGTTTTACAGAACTACCTCTGATGTTGGTTATCTTGTCATCTCACTAGAGGTCAGATTGTTGCCATTCAACACTGAGAGATGTAAACAGTGCTAGGAGTGATGTGTGAGGCCGCAGTGGAATTCTGCAGATTTGGAACTTAATCATGAAATATAACACTTGGAATGAATCTTGCATTTACTAATCGGTAATCACTCCCTGCTAAAACAAAGTGCAGTTTCAGTACACTGTGTGGAAAATTTGTCCTGTCTCTTTTGTCCCCTTTCTGATGCTTTTGGTTGATCCAGAGGCTTTCATTTACATGCGTTACAACTGAAATCACTACCATCTTCCTGGTACTCTGTGGTTCTGTAAAGATGGTGATGGGGAACAAACAAAGAAAAACCTCAGGTTTGAGTGCCATGAGTGTGTGTATTTGTTTGGCAAAAGCCCTGACTACTATTGGTAAAAGACTTCCTGTTACTTGGTAGAAACATGCTCTTTTAGCACATACTCTACAGAGTAACAGATGTTCTACCTGAAGTTTTGCAGGAGTGCAAAATAGAAAATCAGGATACTTGGTGGGAAATGCATGTTGCAGCATTACAACATGTACCAAAAACCACTCCATAGAATCTTTTGTTTGACTGATCCTCCCTTGCCTCCCCTTTCCTCCCTCCCCCTGGAATATT